CCTCCTTGCGTGACGACGACGAAGAGTGTCTGCTGTAGGCAGCAAATAGGAGAGGGAGCAAGGCCGGCGAAGAAAAGCAAGACCGGTTAGCACTGGCTCTGAATCCGTGTCTTGATGCCTCTTCAATGACTCCGCTTGAGGCAACGTGCTACTGTGGCCGCTTGGCTAACACATGGCGATGCTGCTGTCGCCAAGAGGAGCTGCTCTGATACCATGTTAAAATAAAGAGATAAATGAGTTGTAGAAGAAGAAGTTGAATATTATTGACATATCCTCCGTCTTTATATACAGGTTAGAAGGAGAAGTTTCCTCAACGGGTTAGAGAGATTTTCTCAACGGGTTAGAGAGATTTCCTCAACAGTTAGGGAAATCTCATCTACTTATCAATCCCGTCTTCCCTTTGAGAGCTTTGTTGGGAGGTTGCGGGGAAGGAGATCGATGGGGTTTGTGTTAGAGCGAGCGAGGGATCCCGTCTTCTCCTTTGAGAGCTTCGTTGGGAGGTTGGGGGAAGGCGATCGATGGGGTTTGCGTTAGAGCGAGCGAGGGATCCCGTCAACTCCTTTGAGAGCTTCGTTGGGAGGTTGGGGGAAGGAGATCGATTGTGTTTGTGTTAGAGCGAGCGAGGGATCCCGTCTTCTCCTATGAGAGCTCCGTTGGGAGGTAGGGGGAAGGAGATCGATGGGGTTTGTGTCATTCACCAAGAGAGTCCACTTCGCCTCCGTCTTTATCGTCTCTGCATACCAAGAGTAAGCCTCGCTCTCACGACCTTCCACTTCTTTTTCTCCAGAGCTGCCCGTTTCTCTTGCTTGTGGTGATTGTGGGATTTCAATAGATTTACCTTTAGTTGGTGTTGAGCATTTAACATTCAAGTATATATGTACGTAACTGTGAATTAGTTTCTCTGCTTTTCTTACCCATTAATGACATGAATTGTCCAGTGACACTGATTCTTTTGCTAGTCTCATCATACATAAAAAAAAAATTCAGATTTTGCTTATATTGTTGTAAAAAGAATGTGCTGTTTTGGCTTCTAAATAGTTACGATTATTAAGTGTGACATTTTTCAGGATAGACAAGGATAAAGTAATATTTTCACAAGTTCATTAAACTGTCTGGAACTTGAGGTTGTACGAATATAATCCATCCTGAACTATATCAGGATAGATTATTATATTGGTGTACAATGAATGTGCTGTTTTGGCTACAGTATTTGGTGCATATGATTTGGTTTTGAATGACATTTTTTTTTGTATGCTCTATTAACTTGCAAATCAATTTTTACTAAACCAGTCAATTTTTGACCTATCAATATAATTTGACTCAATTTTTGAGAGAGTTGATGATGGTGCAAGGAAATTCAAAAAGCAATTTTTACTAAAAAAAAATTATATTTTAATAATTGATAAAATTATAAAAATAAGAAAAAAAAAATTAAAGATATAAAAATCTAAAAAAGAGACTAAAATTAGGTTCTAAAGAGGGTGAAAAAAAATATATCGAATTGCTAAGACTAGAAAAAAAAAGATGCGAGGATTTAGACAATATTAGAAAGAAGATTAAAGAATACTTGCTAATTATAACGCGACTAAAAAAAGATAAAAAAAATTATGTTTATAAATATTTTACAAATGACTTAGATTTAATGATAAATAATAGTAACAAATTTAATAATCATATATTTTATTCATAAAATTAGAGCTAATTAAATAAAAATACATTAAAGAAGATAAAAATAGTTAAAAGTGTGGGGCCTTATGGTATCCTTATTGAGGTATAAAAAAAGTTTAAAGATATTTTGGTTAATTATGCGAGGATTTGAAAGAATGTTTGATGAATGGAGAAATATTTTTTAGTGCTAGTTTACAAAAAAAAAGATGACATACAAAATTATTTAAATTATAGATGAATTAAAATCATGAGGTATATTATGAAACTTTGAAAATAAAATTATCGAAAATAGGATAAGACTTGAAATAAATATATTTGGAAATCAATGTGGTTTTATCCTATAGATCAACAATATAAGTTATTTATTTATTAAGATAATTAATGGAAAAGTATAAGGAGAAAAAGAAATTTGTATATGATCTTTATTGACTTAGAGAAAATGTATGATAGAGTTTCTAAAGATTTATTATTGTGGTTTTTAGAAATAAAAGGTATATCGACTAATTATACTGATGCTATTAGATATATGTATGATAATATAGCTATTAGTTTTAGAACTATATGGAGTGTATCTAGTGGGTTTCATATTAGCATAGGATTACATCAAGGATTGCATTTAAGTCAATACCTTTTCACATTGATAATGTAGTCGCTTACATCATGACCTCCATGGTATATGTTATTTACAAATGATATTATCTTAGTTGATGAGAGTTAAGTAAAATAAATTATACATTAAGCTATGGAGGTAAATCTTAGAAACTAAAGGTTTTAGATTAAGTAAGACTAAAACTAAATATATAAAATATAACCTTAGTGGTTATGGGAATAGATATGAGAATATAATTAACTTGAATGGACAAAAAGTTTATTTTAGTAAAAGTTTTAGGTATGTTGGATCAATTATTCAAGAAAACGAAGAGATGGATGAATATATTATTCATAGAATAAAAATAATATGATTAAAATGATAAAGGGTGTTAGAAGTCTGATCATCGAATGCTTTGAGATTAAAAAAATAAAATTATAAGATAGTTGTGAGACCAATAATATGGATATGAATGTTGGGTAGTTAAGAATATATATATATATATATAACACATTTCTGTTGTCAAAATGAGAATGTTGAGATAGATGTATAGCACTAATAGGAAAGATGAAAAAAAATATATTTTTATTCATGAATAACTAAATATCGCTTTGATAGATTATACTATGAGAGAAAATCATTTAAGATAATATGGAGATGTGCTTAAAAATCTTCGGATATGATATTGAGGTAAAATGATTAATATTAATGATACAAGAAAAGGTAGAGAAAGATCTAAAAAGACTTTAATATAAATTATAAATAAAAATTTAAATATTTTAAACTTAACTAAACATATAACCTCTTATGGATCTTGTTGTTGTTTTAACTTTCATATCAATTATGGTTTAGTTTCATGTCAAACTGGGAGTAAAAGAATATATTGATTAAAAGAAAACAATGCAAGTTGAGTGTCACAATAATGATCAGATTATGCTAATGCTCTAAGAAATAGATTCTAGTTTGGTGGAGGAGATCAATAAATTCAACATTGGAATCATCTATACTAATTACATAACTATTGAAGCATAAAATCCTAATGTTAAGAATCTTCACTCATCTTATTTTCTTCTCCCCTGTTATCTCTATCATATCAAGTCTGACCATCCACTCTTATGCTAATCATTATCAATAAAGTTGATCAATCTCCATTAAAAGTTGTGCTGATTCGGAGCTAACCTAAATAACATTTTCCTGACCTAACCCATTCTCATAAAGTTCGGGTTTGGACCAAGATTCGGTTATCTAGCACCAAGAAGATTCTTTCTCAATCATCTACAGAATTATAACAGATGGACATAAAATGCTTGGTAGACGAATTTGTCAAGAAAAGAAAGGACTTGCGTATCATTTTGAATATAGAATACAAGAACTGAAATTGATTACCAGTAATCCCCACAGGAGCAAGATCCATCTTTGACACGATGAAATCTCTTAGAATCTCTCATTATTATCTCTCTTCCAGTGATCAAGGAGATATATTTACTGGCTATGTGGCAATGTCCACACACTCAAGTTTTTTGTTATCCTCGGTGGCAACCCATCTTTAGTCTTTAGATGGCCAAAAACCATTGCCAACTTCTCGCTGTGACCGCAAAGCATCTCCTACTTTGCCTCATCATCCACATCATGAAGTGCGAAAGATAAAAAGTGTGGAACATAATCTAATGCTTTCGTCTCACCACTCAGCTTGTGCCAGAGCTCAACGATGCTCTCGTTCTGCCAATTGCATCGAAAACGTAGACTTTCTTGTCAACCTCAATTGTGCTGAAGCCGACTGTCTTTTGCAGGTCCCTTTTGCTCATCAACTCTCTTGTGTTCTTCACCATGTCCCACATTTCAGCTGTGGCATAAATGTTTGAAAGCAGCACATGTGCCCCGCGTTGATCAGGCTCCAAGACAAAGAGCTTATCGGCCACTTGTTTCGCCTTGTCTATCTGCTTGTGGATTCGACAGGCACCCAAGAGAGCTCCCCAAACACTAGGACCAGCCTCTATTGGCATTTCCTTGATCAAAGATTCGGCTTCCTCCAATAGCCCAGCTCGCCCAAGAAGATCAACCATGCATGTGTAGTGCTCGTGCTTCGGATTTAGTTTGTAATCCTCAGTCATGGACTTGAAGTAGCGACGCCCTTCTTCGACCCTACCAGAATGGCTACAAGCAGATAAAACTGCGACGAACGTGACAGAATTGGGTGCGAGATTCTCAGACTTCATGTGCTCAAAAAGTTCCAGAGCTCTTGAGCACATCCCGTGCATGCCCAACCCTCCGATCATTGCACTCCAAGAGAACACATTCCTCTCCGGCATATCAGCGAAGACCTTGTGAGCAACCTCCATGGATCCACATTTTGCATACATGTCGAGGAGAGCAGTATTACTCACCACATCCAGTTCAACATTGTTGCGGACCATGTAGGCGTGCACACTCTTACCCTGCTGCAAAGCCCCGAGGTTTGAGCACGCAAGGAGGGCACTGGCAAGAGTGACTGCGTTCGGCAAAATCGACTGGTCAAACATGTCACGAAGAAGGTGAAGCGACTCCCAGGCTCTCCCACACTGGGCCAGGCTCGCAACCATCGAGCTCCATGAGACGACATCCTTGCAGGGCATTTCGTCGAACATCTTCTTTGCCGAATCAACCATTCCGCTCTTACCATACATGTCGACGAGTGAGGTCTGCAAGTGGATACATGCCTCCAGGAAGTTCTTCTTCAAACAGATGGCATGAAGCATACACCCCGCCTTGGCTGCTTGAATGTTTCCGCAAGCACGAACCAAATAAACGGCAGAAAGTTGATCCAGTTCATGTCCCAACTCCTTCATCTGATGGAACAAATCGAAGATTTTGACGTCCAACGACGCCATGACGTAGCTTTTCATCATGAGACCCCAAACTGTGGGAATCCCCGGAGGAACCCGGCGGAGGACCTTCTCGGCGTCCTCCATAGTGCCCAATTCGACATACATGTTGATGAGCGGGACAACCACGTACTCAGCTAGATCGAGGTTGGATCGGATGGCTTCCGAGTGAATCGACCTCCCGAAGTCGAACAGAAAGAGGCCGACGCAAGCTCGCAGGCCGAAGGCCAAACTGAAGGTATCAGGCCTGTGGTTCCGGGCGCGGGAGATCTTATAGAGACGCAGGAGGTCGGCGAGGTTGTGGGTGCTGAAGTAGCCGGAGAGCATGGTGTTCCAGGAGTGGGGCGTCTTCATGTGGATTTGGTCGAACGCTTGCTGGGCGTGTCGGGGAGCGTCGAGCTCGAAGTAGGCGTGGGCGAGGCGGGAGCCGAAGACGGTGGAGTGGTGGAGACCATAGAGGAAGAGTTGGGCGTGTAGCTGCCGGAGGCGGCGGAGGGAGAAGCAGCGGGGGAAGAAGGAACTCAGATGTTTGGAGTGGCCGGAAAGAAGCTTGTCGCGGAGGGTAGGATCGCCACACATCTGTTTGCATCAATGGGCGAGAGAGAAAGAGCGCGCCTTGAAATAATCCTCTTTACACGCGACACTCGAACGTCAGTGATGCCGGATAACCGACCCTGTTGACGCCACATCATCTAAACCTTGTCTCAACGGCGGCAAAATCTCTCTACGTACAACAATAATATATCATTATTTGGGATACCGCCGCACCAAAAACCTCTCGTGGCAAAATCTCTCAATACGATAAAAGTATATGAACATGCTCCATATCTTAATTTAAAGGCATAATTATGTACATAAATCCTTTCGAA